TCGCATTATAACATACTTATAAAATGCTTGTTTTATTATTCTATAAATATTCGTAAAGTGCAATTAAGCTGCAGAGTAAAACCGCTATAGTATAATCGTATAGCAGTTCCCCAGTATACTGATACTGAGCTTTATAAGGGTTGTGTAGTGTATTTATATAACTGCTAACGAAGTAAACTGTTTTATAAAACGGGGCCCTTTTTGGTTGAGTAAGTGTTGTATAGTAGTTTTTAAACGCATTATACAATTTTAGCGTTTCTATAATATGTGTTGTATAGCAGTTCTAACAACACTTACATAATCAATTTTGTTAGCTGGGAATACACGAATTAAACGAAATATTCAAAAACACAACTGACAGCTTCGAAATTCTAAAACGTCAAATTCTTTTTTATGTGTCATTTAAATATGAAAAATTTGAATGTAAACATGACAACATCACAATTGTTGCCAACTTAATTTGGTTAAAATGCATTCAAATATTCAATTACAGACTTCGATTTAGTCATTTAGTGTTGGTACCAATGCGTAAAATTTTTGTTTTATTGATGACGTGTTTGTAGTTTACTTTTAAATTTACTATATATAATAATAAAACATTTTATTTTGAATTTTAATTAATAGGAAATACTTATATCATGTCTTTAATTAATCGTTTTTAGAGGAGAAAGGAAACAAGAGGCGGAAGTGCTAGATTGCAGCACAAACGGACGGCTGGAATAAGGAATAATATTATGGTGGCAGTTTTCTCTTATTTTACCTCTTGTACGCTTTTTTATGAATACAACTGTACATAGGTATACATATGTATACATAATATTTGTTGAAAATGTTCTTTAAAAAATGTGAGATTATTGTGATGTAGCATGAATTTGGTTTATCAACAAAGCATAAATTTATCAAATATTTAACACTTAATCTAACCCTTGATAAAGAGAAAACACTATGAATTCTGCAAATTCCTGCACGAAATTTAGTTTGCAAGTTTAATTGATAAAGATAAGGCTATTTTATTAATTAGCTGGCGAAACTTGGTTGAGTTTCCTATTCGACAGAGGAGGGATTATGGCAAGGGTTAGATACAACGTCACTTCACTAAGCTCAATAAGTCCCCTTTATCCCCCCTATCCTACAGGAAACTTTAGAGACAACCTGCAAACCTTGTAAAGTGTACCGAGATATAATGCTAAACTTTCGAGACAATTGTAATTAAAGCATTCCTTAATCTTAGGGAAATTAATATAAAAGTTTTCGTTATGCCTGAAAATATTATGTTTAAATGTCTACTTTGATCAAAGAATGTTCTTAATACATTTTTCATAACACTACGTTTACAATAAAGGCAACACAAATAACATTGCCAAACGGAAATCTTAAAGTTAAAGGTGGGAGAGACTTAAAAACCACTGTTGATAGATAGGGTTCGCTAAGTCTCTCCCACCTTTACCGCTTAGGTTACCGTTTCCGTTCTCGTTACCGGGCTGTTGTGAAGCGGGCTTTAATATTTAGATTTTAAAGGGACATTTATTGGTCTATAGAACATATTGTTATTTCCACTCCCAACTTTAAAACGCCCATTATCGTACATATTCCATGACACTAAGTGATCTTTTAAATACCTACACATTGACAAGCTGGGACTTTATGGCGTTTTAGTCACTGGCTGAAGTTAGCAACAGATCTTTAGTCACGGGCTGAATTCTATTCTTATGAAATAATAGTACATGTGAAAATTATTTTATAATCTCAATACAAAAATACAAATTTATAATTATTAAACAGTTTATTAAGGCCAATCTTTGAAAGGTTTATATGCACGTTTGTACTGAACTTTTGATTTCACCGGCAATACACTATTTACCGGTAAAATAGATTCCCAGGTTAGTATATTTTTGTATGAATGTCGCTCTATACAAATATTTAAATTAATTACTAATAAATAATTTTAATAGGAACTTTAAAATATTTGTCGTAGAAAAAGTATAATATGCAACTCGTTTATAACCTTATTTTATTAAACACTCGCTTGCAAATTCGTGACTAAAACGGGGTTTATCAAACTAAATACATAATATACTATTAACCAACATAAGTATTTTTGTGTTGTTTTAAATCTGTGAATTTGTATTTTATTGACATTACATGTTTTTAACATTTTAACATGACTTTTGGTCAAAGTCGGCTCGATCAAAGAAAACAAACAAACAAACACTAATATCTAAGCCTACTACCGGAAGGGTTGCATAAAAATAAATATATAAAAGCCAATAAACACTATCTGTCGTATCTACCTGGCATTTAACTTTATTTATGCTGCTTGTGTGGTAGCATTTTAGAATCGCGGCTTGCTGTGGTAAGTGTGATTTTTTCTTGACTTTGCATACATTAATTTTTATTTGGGCAGATATTTGATGATTTTATGTTTAGTTTGGTAATAGGTAAAAGTATTTTTTAAACGATAAAAAAAGAAAAGGAATGTATTTATGCAATCAATAAATATAATATTTAAAAATAAACACAGGGGGTAGCTGCCCCCTTGCAGGGTGTGGGTAAACACTTGATCGGAGTGGAAAATGGGGTTTTCCCTTTTGAAAATATTACATAATTAAAAAAACGGGGACAAAATTAAACTCCTAGAATAATAAAAAAAACTTTCGAACCCACATCATTTAATAGTACATACGTTAGAGTGGTCCTTATTACATGATAGTCCTAAATCGGTTCTATTAAAAATACTTGCTTTAGCGATAAATAAACACAGTTGTAGGTACTGGGACAATAAAAATAAAAATCCACATGGTTTTAGAGAGGATCATACTCAGTATCCTCAAAAAATTAATGTAGCCTATACATACTCTTGGCAACGAAATAATTGGACCGCTATTTATCGAATAAAAATTGACTGGACAATTATATCTTAATCTTCTTGAAAATTATAAAAACTTACTTATTACCCAGTCATTAGAAAATCAAATGGACGAACAAGGAAATATGTTGCTTGATTAAGGACATTTGTACTTTGAACAATATGGAGCTCCTCCTCGCTATGCTTTACCAGTAAGAGAATAGTCTAACCAAAGGTGTCTCGAGAAATAGATTGGTTGAAGAGGTGCTTAAGAATGGCCAGCAAGATCTCCAGATTACACTCTACTTCATTTGTTTTTTTTGGGGTCATTTAAAAACAAAAGTGTACAAAACACCACCTGAGAACATTTAAGAACTCTAACGTTTCAAAAAGTTCGACAAGAATTTGAGAACAGATTGTATTATTGTTTAGCAAATAACGGAGCACATTTTTTTACATTCAAAATATTTTTTTATGTAATTCTTTATTTTATTTATTGCACACCTCTTGTTAACCTGGGTTATTAAATATTTTAAACAAAATGTTTTGCTTTGAAATTTTTAATGGTATATTAAAGAACTAATGTCATAAGACGTCATTTTGTCGCTGGCGGACAATGGACGAGTGCGACAAAAGGTCTTATGACATGAGTTCTTTATGCTATTTTATCTATAAAAAAATATGCAAAAGTTCTATAAAAAAAATAAGTTTATACCTTAAATTTAATTTAGTATCACAGTCATTGGTTTGACAGTTAATGTCAAAATCGTTTCGCCATGCCGTCATTAATTTACTTATTTACAATAAGCGGTTGTTAATGTTAAAGAAGAAAAAAAGGATTTTATTTGGTGTTAAACAAAATTTATTGCCAGAAAAGTCTCGTAAGTTCTAGAAAAATCATAAAAATATTATAACCAATATGTAAAATATTATGCTGTTTAAATTATAGCCAACCTATAAAATCAAAATTTTGGGTGGGATAAATAAGTACTAGAAAAATCATAAAAATATTATAACCAATATGTAAAATATTATGCTGTTTAAATTTTAGCCAACCTATAAAATCAAAATTTTGGGTGGGATAAAGTATCTCATTACAGCACCGAAAGTAGTGTTATAATGAAGTCATTATGAACGCAAAATATATAAAAAAAATTTAAAATGCATAAAAATAAAATGTTCGATTAAAAATAATATAATAATCACAAATTTAAAAAAACGACCAAAATCATAAAATAAATGAATCGGTGAGAATAAGAACAGTATAAGTCCAAAATTTGACATTTTCATCTGAAATAGCCATTTTGTTTTAAATTCGAAGCAGCATCCCTGGTCTTGCACTGTTCTTATTCCCAATAAATGTTGTTGATTATGGACATTATATACCTACTAAAAGTTTAAGGTGGTTATGCTCATGAAAGCTGTCAGTTGGTATTGTATGCTGCTTAAGTGTAAAATACAATAATGTGATCATCTGCGAAAATGACACAAGACGTAGGAAAAATCCAGAACGATGAAAAATTAATAATAGAAAGTTTGCACATCAGCGTGGTGAGTTTTATATGTCTAGATCTGGAAAAATTGTCGAAGAAAAAAGAACTGGACCACCATGTAATGAAAAGAAAATAAATGATATAAAATATATAATGAAGTACATCAAGGGATAAGATCTAGAGTTTTACCACCATGTAACATCCTGGCCAAACACTAATACGGATGATGATGCCGGTATATAAAAATGGATTATTTAATAATTTTCTTCAATAAAAATGTTTATTTTGTTCAATAAATTGCTTTTTAATCAATAAAAATGCTTTTTGTTAAAAAAATGCCTATTCTTAAAAAAAATGCTCTTTATCTAAAACAAAATTCTAAAGATTATTAATTCTGTGTCAGAATTTTATTGAGATTAAGAACAAGTCCAAGTTTATTTTTTGTGTATAATAAAGCATGCACGTGGTAAAAAATATTTTTAGTTTAATGGACGTCTAAACTTATTCACCACAGCTTGTCTGTACTTTTAAACCTGAAAAATCCTAATAGACAAAATAAACAGTTTATTTTGTTTGTTTGTTTGTTATTCTCACCGATTCAAATATTGTAGAGGAATTTCAATGTAATCATACAAATATTTTTCATTTTTTTTTCTTCTTACCTGCACTCTGCTTTCAGTCAACCCGATCCTCATGGCAATCTCTTCCCTCATGAAAATATCCGGATAGTGTGTTTTAGAAAAACACCTTTCCAGCTCATTCAGTTGAGCCGGTGTGAACCTCGTCCTGTGTCTCTTTTGCTTCGAAGGTTTGTCGCCATCGTTTGAGCTGCTGCTCAACGAGCCGCCCATGCCCGACAGGTTGCCGTCGCATAGGCCACTCAAGCGCGGCTGGTCGAGGACTTTTAGCTCACCATGGTGACGTTTTATGTCTTCGCCGCACATCTCTTTTATGCCTGGAAAATGGGAAAAAGGATGTCTTTAATGAAATATATTTTTTTTTTAGTCAAATATCTCAATTGGCGTTTTAAAAATGTTTAACTATCAAATTTATTGCTAAAAGGACAAAATAACAAATCCAGGGGGACATGTTTTGTTCTGAACAACCCCAGATTTAAGTTTTTTTTTCACACAAACCTGGAATGGAAAACAATCACAGTAGCCAAATAAAAATGTTGATTAATGTCACGAGATGGCCATTTTTGCTCATTTACAAGAGGTTTTATTTATAGGTAAGGTTTTTTAAAGTAATTTTTAAATATTTGGACTAGGGCTGGAAATCGAAATGGTTAAACGATTTTGGTTAACCGCGGTTTTGGACAATCTGAAGAACCGTTTTTTCGGCAAACCGATACGGGACGGACCCGCGAGGAAATCGAAATTAAACTAAATAATGTTATTTAAAAACTAGTGTCAAGTAAATACCTAGATAAAACTATATTTTTAAATTTCTTTAACAAAAAAGTCCCAGGACAAATGAATATATTATTGATAATGAAAGCAATATTTTATCAAGTGAAAATCTGACTTATCTAGGCTTGATTCTTAATAGCGGCAGAAGATGGTTGGAACAAATTGGCAATGTTTGTAGCAAAATAAACAAAGCATATTTAATTTAAGAAATATAGGGTGGGTAAGCCGGCCACCACCAGTAGTCGGCCAAGAGCACCTTTATTTGCAAATAACTTGAATTAGGCGCCAGTTTTGAGCAATCTTCCTTTATGCACCTATTATCTTGTCATATTTGTATAGCCAAATGTCAATTTCGCTTAACCTAAAAAACTCCTGTCATATATATAATTCCCGCGCAAAATTCACACTCTCGCCGATACGAGTGTCCCACCTGCCGAAACTTTGATTAGAACAGCATGCCAGAAAATTAAAACGGAAGTTATTTTCTATTAGTCAATAATTAAAGAACTTTGGTGGATTGTTATGAAAGAATATACATTGAAATACTTGGTATAAAAACCGTAATTTCGTAAGTTTTAGGTTTAAAATCAATCACTAGCATGTGAGGCCTATGAGGCCGACTACTGGTGCAATGATAAAAAATTTTACTTGTCTTTATCTTAATTATCTAATTTTATATATTTTTTCTCTGACAACACTTATATTCTATCAAATAATCAGATTTTCTGTACCAATAGTCGGCCGGAGGTATACCTCTTCTATAGAAGTGAAAATAAAAATGTTACGAAAGTTTTAAATTGATGACCGACTATTGGAGTGGGCATAGAATGCTATTTTTGCTAGTAGTCGGCCGTATGAATTTGAGCCACTTTTAGAACCATTTTTCGACTTAATATTTGAAATTATCCACTTTCAGTCTAATTTTGAAAATGAAACGTAAGTCCCACCTATTGGTCGGTATATTTACCGACGAAAATTTGCAAAAGGTTATCGAAGCGATGTACAATGGGATCACAATAAGGAAATCTTGTCGAAGATACAACATTCCCAGGGCAACACTACAGGACCGGATCAAGGCGCGAATTGCTAATAAGCCAAGGCAAATGGGCCCAGACTCATATTTGAGCGCCGAAAATGAGAAAAAAGTGGTCAACTGGATAATCAATTTGGCGAAATGTGGATTTCCCGTTAAAAAGCGTGAATTAATTTCTACGATACAAAAGATTGTCTTGGATCATAAATAAAAACTCCATTTAAAGACGGGAAACCTAGCCAAAAATGGTTTTCGTCATTCCTTCATAGACATTCAGAAATTTTCACCCGAACTTCTGAGTCAATAGACAAGTCTTGTGCAAAATAAACGGAATAATATATTAAATCGTGGTTCAGGGAGCTTGAAACTTTTCTATAAAGTATTGGTGCCAGTGAAGAATCTTCAATGCGGATGAAAGCGGATTCAGTATGTGCCCTAAAACAGGAAAAGTGTTGGGCCCCAGGGGTTACAAAAATTTATTTGAAGTAAAGAAAGGAATAAAAAAAGAATAATATTACAGTCCTTGTAACATTCTCTATTGTATATGCATATGATGATGTCGTAACCCAATACTTCAACTGTGATTTTGCTGTGACTGAATTTTTTTATAATTTTGTATGTACAAACTTACAAAAAACTTCCCGAAGAAACTCCAACTTTACAAATGGCATAAAAATGCCATACGGACCTGGCGAAAATACAGTATAAATGCCACTGCCGACAACTGGTATAGATATGGCCGACTAATAGAGTATTAGTATTTATTGCCCAAAAGAATATCATACGCTCAATCATATACAATCCTAAAGAAAAATCTTTAAAGAGAGAAACTTTCTTAGTTTTCCCTGTATATACATTTATAAATGCCAGTTAATATTGCAAAATATTCATAAGTATGAAGTGGGATCATAGGCATTTAACTCGAACCGAAATGAATTGGTTGTACAAAAGCACATTGTGCTTAGCACAAAACAAAAAAATCGAAAGTTCTCCATCATATGCTGGTATAAAACTATACAGATAATTGACAGACAAAATAAAAAAATTAAACTTTAAATTATATCGACAAAAAGTTAAACTTCTGCTACTGAAAAAGCCCTATTACCTACTCTGTTAAGGAATATATGGATGATATTAAATAAAATTAAATAATAAATAAAATGTGTGTGATGGTTTGCTTATGGTAGTGATATTTACTATTTGTTTTATACATATGAGACATTCTTTTACATATCGTACGGATTACAGAAAACATATTTTTTCAAACTTTTAAAATGACTTAATTTTTTTTTACAGCATCTTTTCATAAATTTAGCCGACCCCTATATCGGAATTTTTGCAGAAAATTTATTTTTCCAAAGATATATTGATTTAAACTTTTGATAAAATTTGAAAAAATGCTGAATTCTTTTGTACTTAAAATTCATTATCTCCGGTTCTACTGATCGGATCGATTTCATTTTTTTTTTTATTTTAAAACATATTACATGGTCTTTTTAGATAAATATTTAAAAAGTTTGTGTTTTGTTTATTATATGAAAAAAAAAATTTTTTTTTTGTATAAACAGATTTTTTGTGTTTGCCCCCTCTATGAAAAAAAATGAAAAAAATACTGTTCTATGCACTATTTATTACTGTACAAAATGAATTTTTCAGAAAAATGGAGACTTTTTTGGATCGGAAGATATTAAATATTTTCGAGCGCGTGACCGGTACAAGCCGTAAGGGGGCATCCATTAATTACGTGAGGCGTTTAGGGGAGGAGGGGGTCAAGCCAAATCTCATCAATTCTCACGTAATTACGCGTAAGGGAGAGGGGGGGTCTCGGCAAATATCACGTAATTTTTAACAAAGTATGTTTTTTTTAATAAATCCAACAGAATCAAGCAGTTTAACGTATACGGGGGTGTCCATTAATTACGTGAGTCTATTTTAGCGATTTTTTGACCCCCTCCCCCCTTGCTGAGATGTCGTGAGATTTGGCTCAACCCCCTCCCCTTAATCTCACGTGAGATTTTAAAAAATGCTTATTTTCAATGTTTATATATAAGAGGGGGTCAAAAAATCGCTAAAATAGACTCACGTAATTAATGGACACCCCCTAATCAGACATCTTCGAAACGCTAACACATTTAGGAAAGTGTAAACTCATACATCGTTTTAAAAAAATACCAGCGCTTTTTGTAAATTAATTCTGATTTTAAAGGTTTTCAATAATTTTAAATAAATTAAATTTTAAATAATACAAACTCCAATTAATGAGTAAATTTATTAACTGGCAGAATTGACATTTGCACAAATAAGTCACCAATTAAAAGATGTCGAATCATGGCACTCTTATACAAAATATCACGTCACCCGCCACATGCACTAATACGTTTGAATATTACGCGCTTGACAGTCCTGTCACGCGCTCGAAAATGTTTAATATCTTCCGATCCAAAAGAGTCTCCAATGTTCTGAAAAATGTATTTTGTAGATAAAGAAAAAGCGCATAAAATAGTATTTTTTTCTTTTTATTTTATAGAGGGGGCAAACATGAAAAACTAGTTTAAAAAATTAATATGTTATTAACTCCCCATACTTAAAAAAAAAAAAATTTAATTTATTTATTTGAAAAGCCTATTCAATAAGGTTTAAAACAAAAAAAAAACAAAATCGATCCGATCAGTAGAACCGGAGATAATGGGTTTTATGTAGAAGATAATTCATCGTTTTATCGCAATTCACAAAAACTTTATATCAACATATCTCTGAAAAAACAAATTTTTTACAGAAAACCTGATACACGTATCTGCTTATTTACTGAATAGAAGCGGTAAAAAAATTTTCATGCGAATCCAAGCCCTGAAGTCAAAATAGGTGTACGATTTGTAAAAGAATGTCTCATATACCTATTATTTTATTATCTGCAATTTAAATCTTTTAACCTGACTGTACAGTGTACAATATACAGTGTACATTGTACACTGTACAAGTCAGGTTAAAAGGTTAAAATTCCAGATAATAAAATAATAGGTACTATATAAAACAAATACAACTACCATAAGCAAACCATTGTCTACAACCATAAACTTTATGGCAAAGTATTAATAAAGTTATTTCTAAACAAATATTATAAATATTCCCCAACACCCAAACAAAACACGAAGTGCTTAAAGCACTTTTTGCCAAAGATGTTGGCATCTTTAGAAGCGAAGTCCTTTCTATTTCTATTTCTACCTAAATTAACTGTGGTTTTGATCAACTAGAAAACCTGGTTATTGGGCTAGTTGGATTTTACGATGAACACGTTTACAGGGACTTAAATAAAATAAAATGTAAAAACACACGAGTGTGATAGTATATTGTACAACGATTATATTATGCCACTCGCCTTCGGCTCGTCTCGCAAAATTTCATTCCTATGTAAATGGCCATTTCTGAAAATTTAACTTTTTCTAATTTTATTAAAGAATTTGGTACAATTTTGTACAAACACAGATTTGATGCAAATGTCAGTGTCAATTAATTTTTAATAATACAATAAAACACCGTGTAATAATAATAATAATAATAATAATAATAATAATAATAATAATAATAATAATAATAATAATTATAATAATAATAATAATAATAATAATAATAATAATAATAATAATAAGATATACTACTGTGGAGAAAAGTAAGACGTCGTCTCATTGCACTACCCGTGGAGAAATTTTCCTTAAGGGATTTTCAAGAATGAGCCACTTTCTTAGTGTGAAAAGTATAAGAAATTTACAAATTTTTTAATATGTTTAAAAAAATAGAATGTTTTACGATATTTTAAATTATTTATAAGACATCTGGGTGCAAATGTAAATAGAAAAATAGAAAATATTCCTGAAATGTAAGTAATAAAATTGAGGCAGAAATTATTCTGATGCTAAAAAAGTAAAACCGTTATTGTGAGTTCAAAATTAATAAAATATTGTTAACTCAATAAATTCTGACTTGAGTGAGCTTCTGTAAATCTCATTATATAAATAAACTAATTCTGGGTAGGTAGTTGGTTACGGACCATTATAATAATGTTAATCGGTTTTGATTTTGTACGGTTTATGCCAACCCTAATATGGATACTCTGTATGGTTAGTTTTTATCATGATGTGTAAATGAAGGTTAAAAGAGGAACCAACTGGTTATACGTAGATGCCCAAAACAGCTTTCAAAATTTTTGCTAAAATCGCAGTAAAAGTATAAAAAAGCCATGCGCCGAAAAGTGGTAAAGGTAAAATAATGATTTCTTTAAAAAAATTCACATACATCATTAACAAAAATAATGTTTATAATTGAGGAGCAAGCATGCAAAAGCCTCCAATACCTAGCTAATCGTCAGAAACCTCTACCTTATCAAGTAGGTTTTAAAAATATTATTGCACCAAATTTACAATAATATTTAGCGGTATTTATTTGATTCTGACTTTACCAATGGATAAATTGAACCGAATGAAACGATCAAAAATTACCAGTGGTAAATTTTGTACGGTGGCTCCTCAATTTACCTATATATGGCAAATAATAAAAATGTTTACACAGAAAATAAAAAACATAAACTAAATTGAAAAACTATGCATAGAACTATAAATAAATTTTAAAAAAATGGAAATCTATACAAAATATCATTATTAAAGTTAAATAAAAACAGTATAGTACATACTATGTAATTGAAAATCGTAGAACATCATGAGCAGGCTATTCTTAAAACAAAAACAAAGAAAATTAGGGTAACAGTTGGAAGCCAATGAAAAAACAAATCTAACATACACAAATTGTCATCAAAAAGTATTGACCAAATGGACATTATTATAAAAAGTATTTAGAGGTTTATAAAAAGGTATTATAAAATATAAATATAATATGATTATATTTATTGTATTTCGACAATTTATCCATATTTAAAAATACTTTTTATTATAATAATTATTACTTATTTTTATTACCATTTATTAACCTTTGGGAAATGGAAAACTCATAAATAAAAACTTATTTTTAATCCAGGAAAAATTATTTGGAAATAATCTAACAAAGGAACAATTTTATTGAAAAATATCTTTTCTTTGATTTAATTACAAAAAAATTGTTCCAAATAGTCAAAGCCACATCCATATCTTAATATTTAATTTTTCCTCGATTTAAACGTTTACCGTATTGCATATAGGAAAAACTCAAATTGGAAACATTGGGCTAGCTTTCAAATCAAGTTATTTCCCACACAATTTATATTTTTTTCTTCCCAAGTAAAAGAGTTGTTTAATTTAAAAAATATACTTTGTAACTTATCTAGTTAAAATTTTGTTGTTTTAGGATATTTTATTAGGGCAAATTGTGTAGATACCTACCAACCATCATTTTAAATAAGAAAACTTCCGGATCTTAGAGAGTGTCCTCATCACTACACTAATTCCAATCGATCAATAAACATCACATACAAAATCACTATTAGTAGTAAGTAGAGGTAAGCAATACCACCTAAATATCTAGACACCAAGCACCACAGCACACTCCAGCAAATATCATCCAACACTCTTTTGCACCATCACGAATATGATCAGACGTCCGCGATATACTTGATTGATTTAAGGAAGATGTTGGTCCCGCACTAGCAAAAGGCTAAAGGCAAAGAAGAGTGTGCAGATGTGAGAGGTGCTGCTTGGTGCTGCGTGTCCCTAATTAGATGGCCTACCGGATCGGGCCGGCAATATTGGCTTAATGAGGGCGAGGCAGTTTCAATTTGGGCCCATTTAGTTAGCCTATCGTTAGTACGCTGAATCGCTAAAGGCGCCAATTAGTCGGGGGGCCCCCACTAACTTACCGGTTACTGTAACTGGGCCCAGGTTGTTCAGCATGATGTCGAAGTCTTCAAAGGCGACGCACTGCACTGTTTATTTAATGAGTAGTGATTTGATACTGAATTGTGGATATCCAAAGCGTATTCTGGCCGAGGTGGTCCTGAAGGGCGGGATCAGTTATCCCAGAGGCGGAGCCAATGTGAAAATGGGCGGGGCTCGTCCTTCCATTGCAACTTTTCAGTGGTGTTCCCTACTTTTCGGAAGACTCACGCATGCAGAAGGCGAGCGTTGTTTCTTCTTCCTTTTGTTCCTTTGTGTCTGCCGGTTTGCTTTTATTAAAAAACACGTAATTAAACTTTTCCCGGTATCTCGCTCCGCTTTCCTCGTCCTTTTTTCCTTTGCCCAGTTGTTTGTTATTTTCGCTTCTCTTCCGTTGGATTTACGATGCTTTTTCACGACAAAGTTATCTGTGAGAATCTTGCACGAAAAATGACATAAATAACGTACCATGCTGAACATTGCCAGAAAGGATGTCATTTTAAAAGTATGACATTTAAAATATTTTGATACAAGTAGTTTTTAAAAGTAACATCATACCTAAATACTTCTATTTTTTTCTAAACACATTGAAAAATTAAGTTCACAAGTATAACAAAAGCACTTGTGACGATGGTTTTTCAAGCTTCAGCCTCCATGGATAATAATAATAATATTTATTGTTTGCAAGCTTACAGATAACACAAAATATACAAATTACAACAATAAATATGCTTAAATACACAGAAATGCATCAATGTGCATTTGTATGTGCAATGGTTTTCAAATCTAACCAACCTTTAAAATAAAGGAAAAAGTGCAAAGAAACATTTTCTGGATCTAAGAATGTTAAAGAATTACTTGAATCAAATAAATTAAGTAGGTACTTTTGGTCCAGCTTGTCTAAAATTGAAAAAAATCAAAAAATATATTAAATGGGAAGATGAATACATTATTATCATTTCATGAAATTATAATAATGTAGGTACTAAAATTGAAAAAAATCAAAAAAGATATTAAATGGGATGATGAATACATTATTATCATTTCATGAAATTATAATAATGTAGGTATTCATCTTCCCATTTAATATCTTTTTTGATTTTTTTAAATTTTAGACAAGCTGGACCAAAAGTACCTACTTAATTTACTTTACATCGTATTTTCAAGTAATTCTACATACATGCATGTATTTAGAATTACTTGAAAATACGATGTAAAGTATATGTCTTAGATAAATAATGTATCTAAGACATATCCTTCACATCGTATTTTTCAGTCATTCTAGATATGTATACATATAACCTATACACGGAAAAAAAAACTAAATTAAATTTTACAACAACTATATTGAAAAAAAAATGTTTAATTATTTAAAACAATTGTTTTGAAATTAACTAAAACTTAAAGCATTTATATCAACGTATAATTTATTTAAAGTACACAATTTTGGAGCACGGCAAATCTGTATTATTTTTAATAAAGAATGGCATTAGTCAATACAATTTTTATTAAAATATAAAACAATATTAATTTAAAACAGAAATTGTAGTAATTTAACTACAATATATAATTATATCTTCAATAAATTGTTGTTTTTTTCTATTACAAAATTGTTAAATTATTTCCAACAAATTGTTCTTGGTCGTATTTTTTAAACAATTTATACACAACATTTTTTTTTCCGTGTAGGTTCAAAAAATTATAATAATATATTATTCTTCCCCTTAATAATTATTATTATTAAGAACTACGGAAAAATATAGTCTGATTTTTATTTCCTTGAAATATTTGATATTCAAGAATTAATGCAAAATTTACTGATTCCCTATAAATTAGATAGGTACTAGAACTTTTCCCATATGCTTGTAATTTTTTATTTTAGTTTTGTAATTATTCTTTCTTTAAAGGTTACTTCTCATGATCGAATAAAAAGTCCTTAAAATATAATACTCTATCCACTTCTACAATATTGTTTTTTTCCGTATTTAATGATAACCATTATTGACCTATTAATTCAGTTGTTAGGCATTAGCGATTGGCCGATTTTAATATTTAATGTGATTTGCACCAATCGGGTTTTAAATTGGGGGAAGGCGACTATAATAACATTTAAAATTGGTAAAAAGTTAGGTTAACTATTATATTATTATATTTGAATAACCCCTTTCGAAAAGGAACCAAGCGCCAAAAACTTTTTCTTTTATATATTATTATGTTTGAAAATCATTTAATTATATACTTATTGGAGTATAGCATTACACTTGAGATCATGCACATTATTCACTCGAATGATTTAAGTCTCTCGTCTGGCGACTTGAGACGCAAACGTATCCTCTTGAATAATAATAATAATAATCATTAATTAATTACAGAATTACTACCGAAAATGGTAAATATGACAGGTCAAAATGATAAATTAAATGTAAACTAAATATACACATGACATGTTTCTACTTTAAAAAACAATAGAGACAATCTTTTCTTTACATTCTTCTATGGTGTAGCAGCATGCAGACTGCAAAAAAACATAATTTTTTTAAATTTATTTAAGGGTTTTTTTCTCAGACCAGCAAATTTTTATAGAGGCGAATTTCCACGAAGTAAGGAGACTTTTCATATGTTGCATGCCAATGCATTTCAATGGGGATTTTATCCTTAGATCTGGTCCATGGACACTTTTTTTTATTCATTGGTTCCATTTTGTTATTATGTACCAGGATAAAGTATTAAAACTCAAAATGGTATAAATATTTGCAAAATACACATTAAGAAGAACTGAAATATTTAATTTGTTCCATGTAAAAGATTTATCCATTATCATTCCTAAAAATTTGGACGAATTCGAGAAATTAAAAAAATTGATTATTGATTTGAATTTCTTTCTTAAGATTACCATAGGAGAATTGGATCAACACAGTTTTTTTAACATTAATTATAATTAATTAAAATTAATAATTATTAATCTATTTTTAAAACACCAGTTGCTAAATTAAATTAAATTAACAATTTCACTTTCGGTCTTGGCATATACAAAAATAGTTTCATTATCAAGATACACAAACAGTTTTCCCACACTGGTGTATTTAGAAACATCATTAATAAACAATATAAATAACAGGGAAGCGAGGGACTGGGCCAGAGTACTACCCTGAGCCTCAGATATTTTGTCTAATAAACTATATAACCTTGGTATAGAGGAAAATATAAACAAATGGCTGATATTATATTTATATAATGGACAATTTTATATTAAGGTTAATGGGAAAAATCAGGGACAGGTCTATTGGATAAATATAATATCAGCCGTTTGTTTATATTTCCCCCTATACCAAGGTTATATAGTTTATTAGACAAAATATCTGGATAAAGAGTATCGAATGACAAGTCAAAAAATATTCCTACTACTATATTACTTTTATATACTTTTTAATTTATATGTTGTGTGAATTCTATAGTGACCTCTCTTTGGAAAGTTGCTTTTGATATCCGTATTGACATTTAGAAATTAGTTTGAATTTATAAAGGTAGTCAAAAAGTCTGTTTGCAACAAGTTTTTCCAATATTTTTGATATGAAGCTAAGAAGTAAAATTGGTCTGAAGTTTTCAATATTTTGTTTTAGGCACAGGAATCATTAAAGTTAATTTGAGTTTTTTGGGAAGATAAATCGAGTGATTTAATAATTGTGCAAACGAAGGAGACACAACAGAATTATATCTAAGTCATCTTATCCAGTCGATTTCTTATTTGGCATACTCATAATAGTTGTGTAAACTTTGTGTTCTGTAAAAGGAAAAATAGAAATACTTTTACAAGTCCCCTCAGATAAAGTACACACGTTAGATACATTGTCTTAAAGATATTTGGAAATAATTTAAAAAAATATATTATAAATAATGTGGAAAATTGATACTTAAAATCTTAAAAATTGTCATGTGATTTTATATATCGTCGTTTATCTGACAAAGAGGCGTAACTCAAAAAAATTCGTTTTTGAGTTATACCAGAATGATCACCAAAATCGACTTTATAATCTCACAAACTGGCGTAGCTCTATAATAAATAGGTACAAATAAAGTTTTAGCATAAAACAGTTTCGGCGTAACTAATATTTTTGCATTTTGTGTGCCGTACAAACTGGCGTAATTCAATTCACACCGTTTTGTTTAAAAATGAGATACGCCTCTTTGTCAGATAAACGACGATATTATTTGTAATAGATACTATGTATATAACAATAAAATTACATATACATATATACACACATTTTTTTAAATTCAACACAATCAGGAGGAATCCTTATAACACAATGCAAATTAAAACGGTGTTTCCACAGGCTGAAATTAATTATAGTTTCAATTATCCACCTAATAAAATATCAATTTGAATACATGAGTCCATAGATAGATTCCATCAAATGTACCTATTATTATTTTAGGTTTGCATAACACAATAAAGATATTAAGTGGATTTCTAGTAGGTAGAAATGGGACTGTTTAATAAAAACATAAAATATTAATTATATTTAACAAGGTTTTTACCATTTTTGACATTGTCACTTCTTTTTATTGCATTAATTTAAAAAATTATTACCCACTGCAGTTGTGTAGTTTTAACACAATATACTTAAAACCAAGATATATTTTTTCAAAATGTAGCAGTTTTCAGTATACTGTCTGTATACAGCAAGATTAACGAAAGAAAATAAAAAGAATTTTTTTAGTGAGTGAAAATTCAATTTGGTCTCAATCGAGAGAAGGATCAGGATCATCAATCGGTGATCGGCAATATCCTGGCTGTACGCAGTCAGGACTCGGGCTACAGACGACTAATAAGGACGATAACGTTCACGAGACAGCGGGCGATAGAAA